CAGGAGCGGTTGGACCACAGTACCCCGCTTCCGGATTGTATGTGTACGTGTGAGGAGGGTTTCCTACGGATTGAAAGAGATTGTGTGGTTTGCTGCCTGAAAATGGCGGGTGCGGCTGCTAGATCGCCATGGGCGATACAGGTTTCGCCAACCAACAACAACAACAACAACAACAACAACAACAACAATAATCTTATTGCTTTTGTTGCCAGGTACGAGTTGGCTGATGCCGCAGTCATGGACTCGGAGACCTTTCTCGGGGGGGCGATCGTCACCCCTCCCTACACCGACGCCGTCGGGTCGGAGAACGACTGGCTCGTTACCCTAGCCCGGGCTGTGTACAGGTTTGTCTCTTTTTTTCTGCTGTCTCTCCCTCTCGTGTACTCCTACGGACCGTTGGCGCTGTAGGATAGCAACAGCATGAGTTACCGGCAGGACACATGAGAAACATAGAAGAAAATCCGATCGAAGAAAACAACGCATACTCGTAGACAAGGCGTGGAATTTGTGGCCCACTCTAAAACCAAACTCAGCGGGTCGCGGAAGATCGAGTGAGTGAGTGTCCCCAAAAACTTGGACGACCAATTTTGCTGCGTAGTCGCGCTGCAGAAATTTCTCGGCCGGCTCGCTCTCCTCTGTTTCGCCCTTTTTTTTGTGTGTGTGTGTGTTTTTTTTTACGCACATGCTGACCAATAAGATAACTGGGTACACGCGTTTGCACACCATGAATCAATGCGCTTGGCAGAAACTCGGGAACGACCAGCGGCAGCCTCCTGGGAGTAGTCGGCGTGGACATGCGGCTGGAGCAAGTGCAGGAGTCGGTGGAGGGTATCAACTTCCTCGAAACGGGATACTCTATCCTGGCGACGGCTGATGAAGGAGTAGTGCTGGCAGCGGGGGCAGCGTGGGACAGGGACACTGCAGAAAATATCACGAAGGTGCGCCACTCGGCCTCGATCCTTGTCCGTTTGTCGTATTCGCTACTACCGTATGTCGATCTCGACACCCGAGATGATGTCTTGCACCGAAGCGTAGGCGGGGGAACAATCAGCCTGGACGAAGCCTTGATGGGTTTCCCCCAGACCTGAATTCCCTCCGTCGGGAGGGAGGGAATTTGGAACTTGCTTGAGACATTTCGGGTCTCTGGTGGAACCCGCGGGGGCAAACCTCATCATGCTTTCGTCCCGGCTGAGTATTATAAGAAAGGGTTGTGCTGCTGGCGAAGTGTAGGGCACGTGGTAGGCTCGTCCTTGTACGCTCTTGGAACGCAAGGTCTGCATCGCAGTAAACCTCGCTTTCCAGTGACACAAAAAGGCGACAAACCACGAACCTTACTTCCGAAGTACATATAGTACGAAACAAAATATCACCGCCTGCGAGAGTAGTCAATGGTCAGGGCGTTCAAGCGGTCCGAATATATTCTTTCTTCTCGCTGCTCGTCCACACTCGTTTTTCTATTTTTTTCTTGCTGTCCCCTATGCTACGACGGTGATGCATGCTTTCCACCGTGCTCCCCCCTCGCCAAAGGTGTGCGACCTCGGGAATGGCATCTGCTCCGGCGACGAGGGCGACAGCTGGGAAGACCTGCTGCTGGAAACCAAGAACGGCGGCATCAAAACCTTCAAAGCCGTGTCTACCACCGGAGGTGGCGATGGTGAGAAAACAAGACGCATGGGTAGCAGCAGGGGAACCCCCCCGCCCCCTGGCGGGGGCGGCTGAAGGCCGCGCGTCCGCTGTGGCTTCTTTTACATGTCGTATCCAAGTTTAGACGCGCCGTTTCTCCTGCCGATCTTCTCGAACCGTGTGGTGTGCCGCATAGGACTTGAGGACTCTACTAGCGGACGTTTTTCGGTCGGCGGGCTTCGGCCAACCAGCGATGGTGCCTAACGCTGCCTACCGTACTGCATAAGCATGTACCTATTTCACGCGCGATGAGCACTAACTTTTGTTACCTTATCGTCGGGTGCGTGCCGTACCGCTGCTACCAGAGGAAGAGTCGATCCTCATCGCCGCCCCCATCACGACCACCTTCGGCACGGCCGTTTCCGGCGGCGAGGGCAAGGTGACCCACTACATCCTGAGCGCCGTTCCGCGGGACGAGATCTTCCAACCGGTGGACGGAATGGCGGATTTGATCCGGGAAAGCACCACGGAGGTATGGCAGGCGCTTGTCCGAACAACTGTCTTTGGTGACGCACGTTTGCTTTAAGAAACAAAGAAGGTCGTTTTCGGTGTCAAGTAAATACATGTGTTTGTACAATTGTGAAGGAGGAGCACCAATGGCGGGTAAACGTCATCGACAACAACTTTTTGTGTCTAGCCCTGAAAACCAAAGCACGAGCTCGTGCAAGTGCTAATACACGCATGCATGTGTCTCCGCGTCCTTGTCTGTCTGTCTGTCTCTCCCGCCCGCTCCCCCTCTTCTCTCTCTTTTTGTCCAGATCATGGTCACGACGGCCATCGTCGCCTGCTCCACCCTGGTCGCCGTGGCTCTCTCCGTCTACTTCTTGGCCGGCTCCATCACGCGCCCCATCGTGAAGATGACCTCAGCCGCACGCAGCATCTCCAAGGACGGGGCGAAGACCGACGTCTTCGGCAGTGTAGCGGCCACATGGGGCGGCAGGAGAGACGGGAGCAGGTGATACTTTCCCAGAGTTGCATGGATGCCCACAACGTTGTGACCCAGAATGTCCTTACCGGAAGCGAAAGCAATAGGTTTGTAGAACCTGTTCGAACAACATCAGATCTAACTCCAACGTCAGATGTAGCCTCGTTGTTCGTGTTCCCGCGTCGGCCGTTCGTTGAAGCCCAAGGTAACATGCTACTGCAGTAGGTTGACCGCCGCGCGTGGTATGAGCGACATACGCTAGGAGTGGGTGCAACGTGGGCGGCGTCAAGAACTCTGAATAGTTTTTTGCGCTCGAGCTAAGAATAGCGGTTTGCTGATCCGTTCTTCCTACGGCCCACCATTCCTTGTACCTCGTCGTGATGAAATCAACAACGAAATCAAATCGCAAACCTCCTTGTGACAGCGGCGCGGGCGACAGCATAGACAGTCGCACCGCGGGGCGCTACACGATGAACCGCACCGCGTGCCTGGACTACCTCCTCTGCCGGGGAGACGACGAGATCTCTACCCTCGCCAGAGAATTCCAGCTCATGATCACTGGGCTCGGGAGGCGGGGAGCGGCGGCGGAGGCGACGGGTCTGGCGGAGGCCTCGGTGTACCCCAAGAACCCCTTCACCACGGATTTCATCAGGCCGCCCCCTACAAATCCGACCGCGCCCGACGCCACACCCGGCCGACCCAGCGCGCCCGGGCAGGCCTCGTGAAGAGGAAGACGAACGTGTGGCCCTCGCACTGCCGCTTTCTGCTGGGTGTGTGCCACCGCTGCCTTTGCAAGGCACCGTGGTGGAAAGCGATGAGTGCCTGTGCGTCCGCCACCGATCGCTGCCAGCGGCTGGCGAAAGTCGTCGTCGTGCAGCCAGCCTCAAGCCCCGGGGCTGGCTGCGACGCCGTCGTGATTGGTGTTCTTGCCGCTGGGATCTGGTGCGACGATAAGCCCTGGGCGGGTCAAGAGCTTAACTTTTTTCTCTCGGTGCTGGTGAGTCGCTGCACTACGCTGCGACAACATCGGGTAGCCGAGGTTGTTTTGTGTGACGCAGTGCCTCGGGGGGGCTGCTGATGAATGGCGTGCGACGAGTTGTAGACTTGAGTAAAATATTTGTGTGCCGTATCCTCTGCATCACTGTCAAGCCAACAGCGATCCAGGAAGAGGGCTGGCTGTTTGAAGACAACATCGGCAGGCCCACCGAACCAACTGTACATTTTTTGAAGGATAAGGTTGTCTTGCGCCTGTGCGAGATGATAACACGCTACGTTGTCTATTTCAGTTTATTGTTGTGTGTTCAAGCGTACCTACATGGACGTCGTTTCTCCGGATATTTCAGAGTTAAATAGTATTTTGCGCTGGGCGACTGCGTGGTCGATAGGCAAGGCCGTGATACATATGCACGTTCTCCCGGCAAAAGCTTTTTTTTTTCTTGCCGGGAAGGAACCCCTGCCAAAAGTATACCGAGTAAAAAAGTGTTTTGTAGCTCTTGTAATGCCGTCCCTACCACCACATAGTCCACGTCACTCAGCACAGAAAGAGCACCTAGTTCGTACATTTGTTGGTACGCCGATGTTGGTCGTGTCAGCCGTGCTAGGAAAGTTGTTTCTCGTTGCGCTGAGCTTCTGCTGTTGTTGCTTTTTTGTCTACCCACGGGTGGACAACGGCGAACTTGTTTTTTTTTTTTCTTTGCAAATCGAAACGTGTAATCACCCTTGTGCATAAGCCATGGCAAACGATAACTATCTTAGGAGTGAGCGTTTTGTGGCACGGGGGCTGTGAGGCCGCTGAGCTGCGTATGGCACTCTCAGGCAGGAATCGTATCCAGCAGTCCTGTAGCAGACGGCGCAAGCATTGCGCGGAGGTGTTGCTGGTATCATGATGCTTGGCGCGGTTCGAGGGAACAAGAAATTTTCGCTGAATCGTGATCGACGGCAATATCAAGTATCTAGACTCTTTACGTTTGGCTTTCTCGCTTGTCCAGTGTTTTTCTTCGGACTAGGAAGGCGTGCGGGATACGTTCACAAGTGCCCGCTGCCCCTCCTGTGCACAACGGGCAGATACTAAATGGAATATAGACTCTTTGCGTTTGGCTTTCTCGCTTGTGCTGTGTTTCTCTTCGGACTAGGAACGCGTGCGGGATACGTTCACAAGTGCCCGCTGCCCCTCCTTTGCACAACGGGCAGATACCAATTGGAACGCCGGCAAACCTGGCGTGCGGTCATGCGCTTGAATAAAATACCTGCGACCGCCTACTCCTGTGTTGAAAATCCCACGAAAATCGCGCCGAAAGTAACCTGAGGCGTTCGCGATACCTCCGGCAGTGTGATAACACCTTGCAAATTGTTGGACACAAGGCACGAAGGCTACACGGCCCCCACAAGCGCACAGGAAAGCCCGCGCCGTTTTCACGTCGATCGAAGGCGCAGGCTGGAGTCGGTCACAAACAGCACATGGTCCGCGGGACACATCCTGAGACTGGGGATTATACGGACATTGGTCCCGCACCCTAGACGATAGGGGCAGCACCAGAACAAGAAGTAGTAGTCACTTTGTCGTTTGTCCCAGTCGTCGCATACAACTAAAGATCGACGGTTTTTCTCATCGTATCACCGCCTCTAGCTTTGTCATCGTCACGTGACTTGCATACCCATTCACTCTCACATGCAATGTACAAGAGGAGAGCGTGACACGGTAGCAGCGTCGTGGAGTCCACCCTTAAACAGCGCTTTTTGCGATCGCTCTCAAATTTCGACACGGTTAATTCGTGCGCACGCAATGCGCTCACGAGCTCAGCCACCGCAACGTCCAGGACCCAATCAGGCATCATCCAAGGCATCTAAATCGTCATCGTCGTCATCTAAGGCATCGAAATCATCATCGTCATCGTCATCATCACAATCGTCGTCGCCACCATTTGAGGCATCACCATCACGATCGTCCACCTCCTCGGCAGCAGAAACAGCAGCAGCCGCAGCTTGGCCATCTTCTCGCTCGTCCCTGTCTCCAAGGAGACTCTCCTCCTCCTTTGTTCCGCGGACGGCCGCCGTGGCCGTTCTCTTTCCCCCGTCGTGTCCACCGCGGCCTTCGGGCGGTGTCGGCGGAGGGTTAAATACGTTGGGCGTCAACGACAGCGCCCAACTGCCCTCGTGCGGGAAAATAATCACGCCCCAGTGCCCTACGCCCATCACCTGTGGGGTTTCCCGCACCAAGGAAAACAGCGCGGACGCATCGCGGGGTGTACTCGTGTGTGCACGCCTTAATGGTTAGATCGTTGACAAGGGGGTGACGCGGAATGCCACGTGGTGGCCGTGTCACTGCATCAGAGCAGTGCTGACGAGACTATCGAACCAAACCTTGCATCCCGAAAAACGGTGCACACCGGACACTCGGGGTTGTTTGGCATCGCGCGGGGAGACAGGGGGGGGGGGG